TTACCGCGGTGATGTACGCATGCATCCCTGCCCTGCCCGAGTACCGACACCAATGCGTGCGTGCATAAAACCCCGCCCTACTCAGTTACACTCGGCCATGCGACCAGCGGCCACGCCCTGCCCCAAAGCTGACCCATGTGCATTTTCTTCGTAAGGGCCAGGGGCCTGGTAAGGGCCAGGGGCCTGGTAAGGGCCAGGGGCTCGCGGGTAAGGACAGCCGAGGGCATTCTGGGGCAGGCACTGCACATGGAAGGTCCCCGAGGCCCACACGGTCCGCATGAGGCCCGCAAATTTGCTCCACGGGAATCACGCACACAGGGAAGGGCAGCTGTGTGGTTTATGGCATCGGGAGGCAGCCGCCGCCGGGGAAGGGCAGGGGACACAAGCGCGCGCCGCGCGGGTAAGGACAGTCGCATGGGCAGGGCATGGGGAGACAGGTAGGTACAGCGTGGGGAAGGGGATCCTGCACTGGGAAAAACTTACGCCGCGATACAGCCGTCTCCACCTCCCCTGCTTCCAGCCCCTACTCGACAAGCCTCCTCCACCTATCCTCGAAGTCAACGCTCCTCATCATGTAGCTGCCTTCTCACCGCACGGCTTCCTAGTTCAATCCGCTAAGCAACATTGTGCAGAACACGCGTATGTGCTGACCTGCTGAGGCATGCACCATCACAATACCAAAATGATGGCTCCCCGCGTGTGCAGCCATCGCCTTCTTGCGAAAATGCCGCTCATGCATGTAGGTATCCCGCCCTGCTTGTCACCGGCACCCACATGCACATGCATCGCCGCCCCTCCCGGCCATCAGCGCTCCTGCGTACAGGCATCCTCTCGTCCTGCCAGAAACCGGCACCCATGCGTGCAAGCATCACCATCCTTCCCAAGGACTTGCACCCAGGCATCTCCGTCCGCACCCACCCGCGCATCAAGCCCATCAACTGGCACCACTGTAAACATGCATACCCACCATGCCCCCCTCCTGCTCATAAACATGCACATATCCGTGCAGGAATGAGGGAACCTGGAGACAAATTTCACGGGGAAGGACAGAGAGGCCCGCTGGAGGCCGCAAGGGCGCCGCACGGAGAAGGGCATAAGGAGGCAGGGCCGCGCGGGTAAGTACAGCCGCATGGGGAGGGCATGGGATGGCAGACACTGCACATGGAATGGCAGCACGGTAGGCCGCAAGAAGCCTGCAAGTGCGCTGCACGGGAAAGCACACGGGGAGGCCGGCGCAGCTGCAATGGTTCGGGCAATGGAAGGCAGCCGCCGTTGGGGAAGGGTTGGGGCAGGCAAGCGTTTTCTGCGCGAGTAAGGAAAGCCGCATGAGGAGGGCATGGGGAGCAGGGGAGACAGGTAGCTACAGCGCGGGGAAGGGCAGCGAGGCCCCACGGAAGGCCGCAAGAGGCCCACAGAACGCAAGAATGGGACAGACTTGGGGAGGCTGGCGCCGCACGTTGAAGGGCATCAGAGGTAGGCCAAGCACGGGAAGGGCATGGAGAGGCAGGCATCGCACGCTGAAGAAAATATTAGGCAGGCAGGCAAGAGCCATTTCATTCACCATTCAAGGAACAGGCAACAACGGAGGCACGCGCCGCGCGGGAAAGGGCATGGGAAGGTTATTACTTGGCGTTGAAAAGCGACGGATCTACGCCTACTTAAGAAGGTAAAGACCCGGTAAATGGCTTAAGGACGGCACGTGCGTACGCACCATGCTACGTTTCCTGAAGTCCAAGCAAAGACGGCTGCTCTCATGGCAGGTAAGCGAGAAGCAGACGTGCGTGGAGACTGGGGGGTAGCAAGCGCAACATATACGTATGAATATGAAACACAACGTGCGACATCCGTAATCCTGCCTTTACTACAAACCCATTTACGTGGCTGAGCCTAAGGATGCCGATGTGCAGACAAACCAATGATGATTGAACCGCCGAAGCGACATACCTTGCACCGCGAGCCCAAAAGCTGCTGGCCTGCACGATACGTAAGTGGCACTCTGCTTTTTCGAGTATAGCGAGGTTAGCGACGCTAGCAATTCCTTTCCTTTTTTACCTACAAAAAACAGGAGCCACTATGCGCTGCACAACTAGAAGCCTGTGAAGCGGTGACCGGCAGCAGCGCTTTGGAAGCTATACTGACCCGTGGGTCTATGGACGGGACGAGCGCCAAGATCTGCCCTCCATAATTCACCGCTTAAGCAATAGCCTTGTATGTCTTAAATTAGAGGACGCTTTAAACAGCGTGATCTAGGAAGCGCGACGATGCCGTTAAAAGTTCGTTAGGTGAGCGTGACAGCAATGGCGGGCTACGCTGAGCGGTGCAACATGAACGCCGAGCCGTGAACAAGCCGGCTGAAAGGATCCCGTTGAGCGTCAGCGGAACCGGGTATGCTTCCCTTCGCTTCGCTCCTCCGAAACCGCATACTGCGTATACGTTTTCTTCGTTTCGAGCTACGGGGACCATGGCGCAAACAAACCCGTAGCCTCCAATGAGCGGGACCACAGCCACAAACTCATTCGCCGACAAATGTATGGGTAAACACACAAAAGTGTAAACCCAACCTATCTTGCCACAGGGTGAAGATCTAAAGTTACTAAGCGCCATAGTCTTGCAAGCGGTGATTCGCATAGCTGGTGAGTATACGAACCCGCACATAGTCTTTATTTAGGAAGCGGAAGTTACACTGGAGGACAGTAGCTGAGACCATCGTCTTTATTTAGGAAGCGAAAGTTACACTGGAGGACACTGGATTTAGGAAGCGGAAGTCACAGATTTAGGAAGCGAGGATTACACTGGAGGACCAACCAGTAAGGAGTCCGTACTGGCCAATCGTTAGACGTACATTCCAACAGAGCGTTGACCGCCCTACCCCAGAGGGCACACCAGGCCCCCTGGGGTAGGAAGAGCCCGTTAGTAGGAAGAGCGTCAATGTACGGCAGAGCTCATAAACATTTGGCGACACCAAGGCGCCTGGCACGTGAAACGTGGGTGCGTTGGGAACGGAAGCTGATCATCGATGTTAAGGGCGAAACCGCAACGCGGAAGGATGCAGGAAGACGGAGGGCCCGTACTAACTGCAGATTGGACGGAGGAATACGGAGGGACCGCAATTGTGTGGGACGCCGCTGTGTTGTAAACGGGCCGCAGCGACAAAAAACACATGAAGAAAACGGTGAAGAACATAAATATAATTGTGCGTAGGAAAAGAGGCGATGCGACAAGTGCAAAGCGGTTATACAACCAACTGTAGCCTCAGCCTCTTTCCCAACATCTATTACCCAGATCCCTAAGCGGTACCTGTTCACTTCTTAGCAATCCATACTGAGCTAAAGCAACAGAAGGCAGTGCTAGGTGTGCGGCACATAGTAACGGTCGACGAACTGTAGCCTGCGGCTATCCTTCTTACTTGTTTGTGAAACTCTACCGCCTCCCATCCCCTTTGCTTTGCCCTTACTGTGGTTTCCTATGGGTTGGTATGTTGTTAATTCCCCATCCGCTACCCGCCTGCCCTCTCACAAACCCTTTCCCAGAGTAGAAATGTTTATGGAAAAAAATAGCCCACCAACGAATAATGAAATAGAAGTGTGATGAATGGCGTTCATGTGACCAGCAGGCCAGGAGGCGCCTCATCATCCTTAGTCATCCAATGTCCCCCACCCCCTTCCCCCCGCCCAATCCGCGCTGTGCGTGAGAGGCCGTACAGGCCAGCCCCTCACCAAACCGTAGGTGGCAGCACAACGACTTGACGCGTTTTAGGGTGTACAAGAAGCACGAGGAGGGCGAAAAAGCAGGCTCTTCCCCTACCACAGCCATGATGAATTCCCCCATGCCCCCAAACCGGTACCCTTTCTAGTAGTGCAAGTCCCCCCGCTAGCCGGTGAGCTAGTACAGCTGACAAGGCGACCCAACCGTAGGTGGCAGTGCGAAAACAACCTAACTGCTGTAGCCTCAGGCATCCAGCCACCACATATCCCCTTTGCGTTGTTCTTACTAAAATTTCCTATGTGATTTGGGATATCCTTAAATCCCACCCGCTACCCGCCTGCACTCCCCTAACCCTCCCCAGAGAAGTAATTATTATGAAAACGGAAATGAAATCTTTCACCCGTCCAGGTGCCTCACCATCCTCCGGCTCACCGATAACCATAGCCATCCAGTGTCCCCCACCCCCCTCCCCCTCCCCCGGCCCCCTAGGAACCCAATGGTAATTGACCTGTGCGGTGGTGCCATCCATGTGACCAGACCAGGAGGCGCCAAATCATCCTCCGGCTCACCAATAACCATAGTCATCCAACGTCCACCATACCCCTCCCCCCCCCGCCCAATCCGTCAGTTTTCCCTTTATTTACTCTCCCCTAACCGTAGGTGGCAGCACGATTAGGTGACGCGTTTTAGGGTATACAAGAAACACGGGAGGGTGAATGGAAAGTGAGGCCCCTTCCCCTGTTACAGCCATGATGAGGACCCCTGTACCCCCAAACCCGGTACCCTTCCTTGGCGTTCATGTTACCCGTCCAGGTGCCTCACCTCCGGCTCACCAATAACCATAGCCGTCCAGTGTCCCCCACCCCCCTCCGCCCCCCCTAGCAACCTATGAAGCCACGTCATACAGCTCTAGAGATTTGTTCTTAATACACCCCCCCAATAGAGTCTCCGCCGAATGCGCTCACCGCATGAGTCGGGATATGGGATTGGGACTCGTTGCTGCACTCATAATTTATTCCCCCCCCCACCACCACCTGCGCTGTGCTCGAGAGGCCGTGCAAGCCACAAGGCCCCCCTTGCCCCCGAAACGGTACCTTTCCCAGGAGTGCAAGTCATCCCCCAGCTAGCCTTTATTTGGTCCCCATGCCGTGGGCTAGCAAAGCTGACAAGGCATGCGCAAGCGCCCCCCTCGGGGCGCGGGTTTTGGCGGTTTTCTTCGTGGGGTTGGTTGGGGGCTTGTTGTCGGTTTGGTGTTTCGTTGTCATTGGCGTCTTGGTGGCGACTTGCGTAACATTACCAAGTTGCAAAGCTTATTTACTGTCCGTTACCCTCCATTAGCCGCTATTGCTGCTACTTGCTGCTGCAGCACACTCAAAGGTCCTCCGCTACGGCCACCGCTAGCTAGCCCCACATTTCGAATGTCCACCCCCACTAACTCCTTCTCCCGTTACCATTCACACTACGGCTGCTGCCAACAAAGAGCTACTGCTAGTGCTACAGCTGCTGACGAAAGACCGCTCCTGGTCCCCAACCTACTCCTCCTCACAGCTACCGCTGCCACCACCCCCGCTGCTGCCGCCGTCCGCTCCCAAGGTATTTTAATCCCCGCTGGCGCTACTGCCGCCTCCCTCACCGCTACCGTTACCAGCAATCAGCATTGCCTTGTTGAGGCCCGCGCTTGCCAACTCCAAATGGCAACGGTCCAGCGGTCCAGGCCAGGGCTTAGCGCTGCGAGGTGGGGTGAGGCGTGAGATGAGGGTGAACGGCATGGGGGCTGTACGGCAGAGGGAAGATGGGCAGATTACGGCACTTATTGAAAAGAGGGTAAAGTATAGTTTGTTTGCTGTATGTGAGATACGGAGGCACACACGCACGCGCATGTACGAAGGCCACATAGCTCCCACAATCGTTACCCGCCTCCTCACCTTACCTTTCCTGTCCCCAACCCAACCCCATGATTCCCTCGCACCAACCCCAAACCCACACCCCCGCATAACCCCATTACTCACCACGCCTCCAGTCGCGTCGTCCCCGACAGACGTCGCTGTACGACAGGGGAAGGCGGCCCGACGGCGGCACCGCCGCCGGCAGCACCCAGCGGCAACGTTGCCGCCGCCGCCGCCTCCGTCGGCCCCGCCGGCGCCATCATCCCCGCCTTCAAGCTTCCTGCCGTACCAGCGGCGGCGGCGGGTACCTCCTCCCCCTCCCTCTTGGCGATTCCGGCGCGTAACGCCTCCGCCAGTGCCGTCAAACCTTGCGGACCCGGCGGCAGCGTCTCCTCGTCTTCCAACAAGCCGCCGACGGTTGGCGTCGCTTCAACTCCCGGTGCCGCCATCGCCGCCGCCGCCCTGATGATCGCCGCCTCCGCCTCCGACACCTCCTCCGCTAGGCTGCCGCCGGCGCCGGCGGCACCCGTCGTCGTCCAACGTCGCCGTACGACACCGGGGCGAACTGGCGGCGGCGGCGACTTCGCCGCCGCCGCCGCCGCTGCCGTCATAACGGGGACCATGCCGCCGTCGGTTCGTTGCCGCATTCGGTGTTGCAACAACGGCAGCGACGACGACGGCGGCAGCAGCGACATCGGCGTGGCGGGAGTGGCGAGGCGGCGGCGTACCTCCCGGGCTCCGGCGGCGCCGCCACCCGAACTCGCCATTGACAGGATGTCGGCCACGATCTACGAACGGGCGGTGGTTGGGTGCCGGAAGGTTGGGCGGGTACCGGGTCGTCATCTAACGACAATACGGTTACCGGGGTTGGGCTGGGTGAATATGCAAGCAATGGAGCCGAAGAGTAATTACTTACTGGCAACGTAGTCGCAACACTGTACGATGGTTGGGTACCTCACTGCCGGCATTTGCTACCCTCTGCCAACGTTCCTCCCCAGCAACTATAATGCATCTCCTTGTTTGCTGCTTTGCTAACCTCATCACCCCCGACCCACGGCTCAGTTCCGCGGCTCAGTTTATCTAACCCCCGACCCATGGGTCACTCCCCCTCTCCCACCCCCACCTGCTGCTCCCAATCCGAGTCCACGAGCAGCTGCGCGTGCGTGTGTTGCGGGTGGAAGAGAACCTTGGAGGCGTAGTGCCGTACGAACTCCATCACCTGGGGAGTGAATGTACGGAATGTGCGTCAATTCGTCCTTGTATGACAGCACCGTAGATGGTATTAGGTATAGCATTCAGGGACCATGAAGAGCGGTATGACACGCACATAATGGGTTGCAAGCGGTGAACGAAATCCCTTAAGCTAGCGGTGTCCTAGCTTAAGGGATTGGCTACATGAGCAATACCGGTAACAACGATGTACGTTCATGTACGACATGATAGCAGTACGGAATGTACGACACGTACCGCCTCCACGTGGATCAGCTGATCTTGTCCGGCAATGGCCACCAGGGTACGGAACGGCAGGTCCTGAAGTACAGCAGGGATGGAGGGGCGAGGGAAACATCAGGACGTGGATGCCCCAACCCTTGGCTCAGAGATCCTCCCTCTTCGAAGCCCTACCCCCTCAACTAATCCACTTCCCCTTCTTTAGGTACTTTACTGCTCCCCCTCGCTCACCACCCCGGTCATGCCGCCACCAAAACACAATCCCCCTTCTCCCACCTGACCCCCCGAGCCACACCCTCGCTTGCGGCCACAGATTGAGCCCCTCCCTTCCACCTCTCCCACTGCTGCTTTGGTTTCGACCTAACCCTCACCGCTTGTTCCTAACGCGTGGTCCCGTCCTGGTTTTCCTTCTTACTTTCCCCTCCCCCTCGCTCCCCTTTCCCCCTCCCCACCTGCGGCCACAAGTTGAGGTCCGACCAGTAGAAGCGGCGGCACATGGCGGCGGCGCAGTGAAGGTCGCGAGACATGAAGGAGAGCGCCTGGTCCTGTGGAGGCGTTGTGCGGGAAGAGGAAAATAGAGTGTGGGAGTGATGAGGGAAACAGGAGTGTATGACCCATGGGTCGATCGGGGGCAGGGTGGCGAGTGTTGCTTGCTTGCACTGCCAAGGAAGCGAACAGCTTCCCTCACAGGTGGTAAGTTCCACGGTGCATGTAATGTGATGATGATGATGAGGAGGAGGAGGAGGAGGAAAAGGTTGGGATTAATTTGGAGACGTAATCCGCCTTAGGCTGGAGTTTAGGGATAGCAATGTATAGAAAAGGTTGGGAAAGCAAGCCACGTGGCGAGGAGGAAGGTGCAGCGGATGGAGCGACTCAACTGCCGTACGTACCAGAGTATGTGTACGAGATAGGGGTGTACGTCTACGCAGTGTGCCGTACCAGTGGTGCGTTATGCCGTACGTACCACTATCCAGGTCCGAAGGCTCGTGGTTCGTGGCTTGCGGTAGATGAAGTTTGCGAGCAAGTGCGGCAGGAACATGCTGGGGGGTTGGGGGGGGGGAGGGGATTAACAAGGAGGGAGGATGGAGGGTGGAGGGTAGGTTGGGTGTGTTGGTCGGTGATTGGCAATGATTTTTGGGGGCTGGGGTGAGGGGGCTTTCTGTTGAGTATGCTTGGGCTTGGTGTGCGTGTCAGCGGGAGTTAGATGACAGGCCTACTACTGCATTGTAGATCCCGCGAAGGCAGAGCCCTAGCTGGTACAGAGGGGTACCTAGATGCAACTGGTAATCCACGCGGTTTACTGGGAATAGGTTAGCAGCGGGTTTACCTTGACGTTGCACCAAATCAGTCAGTGCCCATCAGTGCACGCCCTACATGCATGCAGTAGTTTGATGGGTTCTTTGAGTGGGGTGCTCCGAGCGACCCATGGGTCCGCACCCACTCACCCGAAACACACTGGGTCCAGCATGACGAGGCTCTGTAATCGAGCCGCGTGGCACTGCGCCAGGCGAGAGGCCACGAAGGTGCCGTACGATTGGGCCACGACACAGGCCTGTCAGCGTACGACAAGGGGGGCGGGGTCAGAGATATACCAATGGGGGGAGGAGGGGTTGGGTGTGAAGGCAGGGTGTCCCACGTCGGGGGTTCTTGCAGAAAGGATCAATGGCCAGGAAGGTGCCGTACGAGCATGACCCCACCTATCAAAACTCACACGTTCCTACTTGCGGCCAGTTTTGTTAACACACGCTCTCACATCATTTGCTGGCAGTCACAATACGTTCCGACTCGCGGCCAGTTATTTTACCACACACGCTCCCGCCCCACCCCCACCTGCGCCACCCCCAGCCTGTCCAGCAGCCCAACCACCACCCCCGCGATGTCATCCGCGGAGGGGATGATGGAGCACAGCCGCAGCGACACGTGCTTGTACTCCACCAGCAGCACGGGCAGGCCGGCAGCGAGCAGGCGCCTGCATGGGGGGATAGTTGCATGGGGGGGGGGTATGGCATGGGGGATGATTGCATGGGCGGTATGGCATGGGGGGTATGGCATGGGGGGGGGGGTATTGGGGAATCAAGAGGGGATGAATACCGGTATTACACATTGGGTTGGAACTATGGATTGCATATAGTATGGGGACATGGGCTGCGGCATGCATGGTGGGGGCCAAGTGGGGAGGGGAGGGTATAAGCGCAGGTGAGGGGAAGGAGGGGGAGAAGGGTGTTAGAAAGAGGGATGCAGGAACACGCCATGCGAAACGCACGTGCTGGGGGGTGGGCGAAGGAGCGAGAGGGGCTTCAAGAGCGAGGGAGAGCGGGCAGCGAGCCGTTCTCCTGACTCACTTTAGACCGGAAAGGAGGGGGGTCCGAACATGGGTGTGTGTAGAGGGGTGTGCGAACATGGGTGTGTGTAAAGGGGGCGCGCAGGGTGCGAGTAAGGGATCGTGAGCGGTGCAATCCAGCAGAGAGCGAGGGTTCAGAGGTCACTTCGGATCGCTCCTGTGAAGCAGCAGGCGCTACTGCTGGGCTGCAAGAAGCAATGTGAAGGTATGGACCCGCTTGCTAGCTCCTAGCTCGTGCTCGTGCTGCGTGCAGCGTAGTCCCTGCTGCTGTCATTTGTCGACGCCCAAGCCCGTCCTGATACACAAAACACACACACGCGCACGTACCTCCCCCTCCCACCCACCCAACCCACCAACAGGGCTTTCCCCCCCTCCCACACACACATACACACCTGATGAGGTCCATGTACGGCAGAAGGCCCAACCCCACTCCATGCAGCAGTACGACAGGCGCCGTCGTGGTGGCGGTGTTGGTCGTACTTGCCACTGCCGGTTTGTGGTGATTGTGGCGGTTGTGGCGGTTGCTGTGAGCGTGGCTGCGGTGCCGCTGCTGCTGCTGCTGCGGCTCCTCTCCCTCTCCCTCTCCCGCCTCCTCGATCTCCGGAAACCGCCGCTGGTGCTGATGCTGACGCTGCTCCTGCCGGTGCTCCTGCGTTTGTTGTTGTTGTTTCTGCGGAAACGACCCATTGGTCACCTCTCCACCCCCCACTCCCCCTCCTCCTCCAACCTTCCTCCACCATCCCCACCCCCACCACCGCCTCCCCTGCCTCCCCCTCTTCCTCCTCTCCTCCTCCTCCGCCGCCCCCAGTCGCAGCTCCTCCGTTGCCGCAACCAGCATTCCCGACCCCGGGTCGCAGCCCAGTGTGAAACCCATGGCGGCGAGCAGCGAGTGGCCCAACAGCGCGATGACCTCAGTGGCGCCGTAGAAGAGCAGTGGCCTGGGGAAGGGAGGTTGGGAGCATGGGAGGCGAACGTCACCGCTTGGGCCCCACCGGGGGGGGGAGGAGGAGGGCGTACGGGATTATGACGGGAGGCATGGGGAAGGTGGTTCGGAGCCTTGCTACCTTCCGTCCCGCCATTGGTACCCCTTACACCACCCCCCACAACCTGATGCACGCCAGCTGGGGGTGCGTGTCACACACGCACACACCCATACACACACGTCCTCCCCTGCCCTTCCCCCTTCCTTCCTTCCCCCTTCCTTCCCCCCCTCCCCACCTGTACCCCGCCCTCAGCGGCTCCCACAGGTGTGTCATGCAGGACAGGTTGGGGGTATAGCCCGGGGGCAGGGAGATGCGGAACGCGGACTGCAGCTGCGCCACGCAGCGCCGCAGCAGCGGACCGTGACCCTCGCGCTCCATTTGGGTCCTGCATGGGAGGGTGGTGGGTCGGGATTCATATTCCGCATTTGGCTGGATTATAGGATTGCACATAGTCATGCATGGGGGACAGGGGCAGGGGTGGGCGGGCGGGGAACAGGTAGTAAGGGGACATGCTCGCAAACGCAACGCGGGTGGGGGAGGGGAAAGGAGGGAAAGCTCGGCTAGGATGTTTAGGAGGGAAAGCCGTCGGGGTGAGGGCAAGGAGAGGAGCCTCGGTGTAAGCTCTCCTTTAAGTCTTGAGGAGGCAAAGGGGCAAGGAAGGAAAGAAGGGCCTAACGCCAACGCCTAAAAAGCACGGATCAACGGAACCAACCGCTCCCCCAACGCCAACTGGAACAATCTAGCACCAGCAGGACTGTGTTGCAAACCGTAGTACGGAACGGCCGTACTCCGTACCTGCTTTTGTACCAGAATCCGTACGCCAGGAGATCCGCCAGGTTATCCTGCTTGATGACCCGTGGGTCGGCCCCGCAAAACCAGGTGCCTAAGTAGGTGTCTGCGTCAATGACGTACGACGACTGGCGACACACCTGGTAGGGTGGGTGGTGGGTGGGTGGTGGGGGATCGGGGGGTCAGGTGGTGGGTATTGGGTTAACGAGGTGGAAACTAACGAACCGTGTGACATGTAGGCTCCTCCATAAGTTGCATCGTGGATGCCAGGGGGAGTTAGGTGGTTTAAGGCGGGAAGAGGAGAGCAGCAGGAATATCGAGCTTCATTCAGGCTTCAGGTGGTGTTACCGGTATATACTGTTTTGACACGTAATTAGATATTATAGCTGACAGGCTTGGCCGCCCCCTTTCCTTCCCTCCTTAATGGAGGCCGAAAGAGAGGAGAAAGGCATGGAGAATAGGGGGCAGCACTTGTCTGCATGCGAGCCTTCTGCCCCCGACTGACTCATCCGTCATCATCCGTGTCGTACGATAGCTGTGCGTGTGTACGAACGTGGACCACCCGCACCAGCCGGAGGGGTGGTCGCCCGGCTTCATCCCCCGCAGCCTTGAGCCCTTGGGCCCTTGGGCTTGGGCTTCCAGTGCTAACATATCTCCTTTTCACTCCCAGCCTACCCCGGTGCGGAAGATTTATCCACTGCTAACATCCCACCCCCTCATCCCTTCACTCCCTCCCCCTCCCCTCACCCCGTCCCCTCCCTCCCCTCACCTCCAGTAGTCGGTTGAAAGCGGTTAGGCCGTCATGGTTGTCAGGCGCGTGGCGAGGCGGTTGGGCGTTAAAGCTGGAGTACCTGTCAGTTGGGGGCGAGGCCGTTGGGGGGGAGGCCGTTGGGGTTGGTTGCCCTAGTTGATGCCATCAAGTGAGACTTACCCGGCTTCCCGTTTGTGGGCTACATGTATGGGTGTCGCCCTCCTTTCCACCCATCCTCCCCTTTCCTTTCCTTCCTCACCCTTCCCCTCTGTTGGGGCCGTTAAACAACATTTGCTTTGTGACACCCTGCCGCCTCCTATCCCCGTTGCTTTGCCCCAAACGAAACCTAAATGGCCTTGCCCGAACGAAACCTTTAATGTTTTCTATTCCTATGGTTTGGTACAGTCTTCGACTCCCCCTCCCCCTTCCCATCCCACCGGGCTAGTTGTCGACCAGAGTTACCGGTAGTGTCGACCCCCCATCCCTCCATGACCCCGCCCAACCTGTACGGATAGTGCAGCAGGAAAGCCGCCTCCGCAATCGCCGCCGCCACCAGCAGCGGACGCCAGCCCACCACCGTCAACACCGCCGCCGCGACCATTGCCACCGAAATGAAAAACAGTACGGCGGCGACCGCCATTCGGAGCAGCAGCGCACGGGCGCGAGTGTCGTACTCGTAGGGCAGGGCGGCGCGACTGACCCGTGGGTCTGCAGGCGGCACTTGGACGAATGTAGTGGAGATGCGGCTGGAAATGGGCGGCGGCAGTGGTCCGAACTCGTCGAATTGGGATGACGGCTGGGACTCCAGTGACCCATGGGTCATCAGTCTCGTCTCCTTGGGTGTAACTTCCGTTGAAAGCAGACTTTCAAGCGTCTTGAAGGGTTCCGGAGGCTGCTGCATGGGTTGTGGCGGCTGGTGCTGCTGTTGCGGTGGTTGTGATGTTGGTGTTGGTGACGGAGCCGACGGAGCCGACGGAGCCGACGGAGCCGACGGAGCCGACGCGAGAGACGGCGGCTGCTGCGGCTGTGTCGCGCCCCCCGAAGCCACTGGCGGATCAGCAGCAGCAGCCGGGGTAAGCGACGGAGGCTGCGGCTGTGGTGCGTCGCCCGCCACCGCCTTCGTGGCCGCCTGGCTGTCCTTGAAAGGCTCCGGCGGCTGTCGCTGCTGCCGCTGCCGCCGCTGCTGCTGCTGCTGCTGTGGTGGTGCTGGAGGCGACGAAGGAGGCTGCTGAGGCTGCTGAGGCTGCGGCGGAGGCGGAGGCAGAGGCGGAGGCGAAAGCGACCCACTCTCCTCCTTGACCGTCTCGTTCGCCCTGCGCTTCAGCTCCAGCGTTGGTTGCTGCAGTCGATGCAGCGGCGGGGGTTGTAATGACAGCTGCCCCGCATCCTCCTCAGCCGCACCCGCACCCGCACCCGCCGCCGGCACTCCCTCCGCCTCCGCCTCCGCCTCCGCCGCTTCCGCCGCCTCCGCTGGTTGCTGCTCCTCAGGAGACCCGTCTGGGCGCCGAGGCTGAGGGTGCGACGACAGCGGCGGCGCCTCCGCCAGGGGTTGCAGCTGGGGATGGTTAGTCCCGTATTGCTTCTCCGCCTCCGCTACATCACCTGGCGGCGGCGGCGGCAGCGACGGCGGGCCGAGCGGTTCCGCCGCCGCCGCCGCGGCCTGCACGCCTTCTTCGGGATCTTGGCACTGATCGGCCGCTGGTACGGCAGGAAACTGAGGCCGTACTGCTGCCGCTGCTGCCGCCGACGGCGACGGGTCCACTGACGGCGGCCATGGCGCTGACGCCTGTGGGATTGGAGGTGACGTAGGCAGCGGCGGCGGCGGTGGTAGTGGCGGCGGCGATAGCGGCGGCGGCGGTGGCGACTCAGGCAGCGGCTCCGGGGGTGGCGGCGGCTGCGTTGGCAGTTGCGGCTGAGGCTCCTCCTTCTCCTTCAGCTGAGGCGGCGACGCTTGCGGCAGCGGCGGCGGTGATTGATCCGCCGGGGTTGGCGGCGGTGGCAGAGGCGATTGAGGCAGCGGCGATGGCTGCTCCATTATTGGCGCCGGCGGCGATGGAGGTGACGGGCGCGACTCACGCGGCGCAGGCAGCTCCGACTGCGCCGGGTCCTGCTGCGGAAGCTCAGAGATTGGCAGCTGGTGCAGCTGCATTGGGACAGGCTGCGAACCGCTTTCCAGGGGAAGGGAGGATGGTGGCGGCGAGGGTGGCGAGGGGGACGGTGGCTCGACGGTAGACTCCGGCGTCGGCAGCGAGGATGCAGTTGATGACAGCGAGGGTGGTTGAGGGGGGGCCTGCAATTTGCTGTGAAGAAGCGATGGTGGCGTGGCGGTTAGCCGGGGCTCCTGCAGCTGTTGTAGTAGCTGCTGTTGCTGCTGCTGCTCAATTGACCCACGGGTCACCAGCGCTGCCGCCATTGCCCCCAACAAAACCAGTCCCGATCCTTTCCTCTGCTGCTGCAGAGGAGGGGACGCCGGTTCCTGGAAGCGCGGCGCCGCTGACGACCCAAGTGACCCATGGGTCACCCATGTGTCACCAGCAAAGCCGTTTTGCCGTTGCTGCTGATCCGAAACTGCTGTCGCTCCCTCGACGCCTGTGCTCCGTCCTGCGCTGCCGGCCGTCAGCCCTGGATCCGGGGATCCTGGAGAACCTGGGTCGTACTCGGATCCCACGTCGAGCGCATAAGACGAAAGCCGCGGGAGGGCGAGACCGGCAGGAGCCGGCATGGCAGGGGGGGTCGCGGGCCCGGCGGGAGCCGCCGCGGCGAAGACAGGAAGGCAAGCGGTCGCGATTGAGGTGTTGCCATCGGAGGCGGCTTTGTCACTGTTGGAATCGTCGCCAACGATGCCGTCTCCGGTGGACCTCATGGCTGAGGATGAGGGTGTATGAAGTGCAGCAGGTAAGGTGATCAGCAAGAGGCGGCTTCCTTGTAAGAATGGCAATAGCTGCTGCTGCACTTGTTGCTAGGCTAACAGGTTTTTCTAAACCCTCCTGTGTTAGCTGTCGGGCTGCGAAAGTCCCAAGAAACGATGCTCTATGACTTCCCAGAAAGGTTGCGGTAATTGTGTCAAAAGCAAGCCACAAAAGTAGCTCCGGATGTACGTGAACGATGCTTCAAAGGTTCCCTGTCGACCTTTGTCTTCCAGTAAAGTATAACCACACAAGGGCAGGCCAGAAACCAGGCTTCAGCACTATTTGCAACTATATGCAAGCTGCGTGCTAACGGTGGCTGTCACGATCCTTTTTTGCTCCTCTCTTTACATGTCTTATACCGTTTAGTCAAGGTGCAACGCATCCTCCTTTCGCTTCTACTCCTTTGCTTCCCTTGCTTCGCATTTTCGATTATTCGCGTCACCGCCGAAAGGGCGAGCACGTGCGTCACCGACTCCTTCGTGTCCAAGGACTTACAGCGCCCTTCCTTGGAAACGGTGACCCGCAATACGCAACGCAGCACACCGTGTTCCTCCTTTCCTTGTCGGTTTGTTCCCTTCTTCCTTTGCCTGCCTCCTTTTAGCTCCTCGTAGACTCGTGCTTACCATAGACGTAGTGCGGTTGGGCCAAAGCCGCGCAAGCAACATGTGCTGTGGTGACCCCGTACGTCGACTTGCGTAACATTGCCAAGCCTCACTTTTCCAGCTTCTGCTGGTGCCGTTGGACGGCCTGCCTACCAGCCCGCTTCAAACCTTGTGCCTCACTTTTGGTGTCCAGCAGCAATACTGCTGTTTCAGGCCAGCAATACGCACACGCTACGTGAAGGAATGACCATAACAATGGTTCCCTAAGAGGGAGGACGGGTGATGAACCCAACCTACATGACAACGATATGCCTCCTGTTGGATGTCCGGCGTGCTGCAACTTGATTGACCAGAAATGTCTTGTTACCAGACCGAAGCGATCTCATGGCCTGCCCATGTGTTGTGTATAGTTGTGTATAGTAGTGTGTGTGGTCGGACTGCAGCGGTTCGGTCATGCTGTTAGGTACAGTTACAGATAGGGCTGCGTTGCATGTGTAATGACGGCGCGCTGAACAGCGGCAGTCGTTTCTCGCTTGTTACCATGACCAATACTGCGGTTGCCCAGCGACACGTTACCAGGTACCACTTGCAAGTCCACCCAGCTGTACCCCAATATTTCTAACAAACTCTTCATCTCTACTCCTGCTGCCAACAACACCCAAATCAGGCGTTTCTTCAATGTTGTGCTTAGCGACTGTCAATTTCCGAAGACGGTAACGAAGTTGGTCGTATGAAGCTGCACTGCCTTTCAGCTCCTTTGCAATATTGCTAGCAGTCAGTTTATTGCTGGTCGACTGGATGGTAACAACCGCTTCCTGAAAGGCCGCCTCGTCAACAGCAGTCCATCTTAATCGCTTCTTTGGTGGAAGACTATTGTCGTTGGGAGAAGGGCGCATATACTGCTGTCCAACTTTGTTGCTATGTAGAAAGTTATTGGCAGATCTATAAGTCAAGTCAGTGCAATGTGGGTTACCACGAACTTCGTTCAACAAGACCTTAGCACAGAGTTTACTGCCGCGCGCAAGTATGGCCTCTGCGGCTGTAGACAACGACTCTATTTGTTGTGCACTTCTACTCAATCGTCCCATTGTTTGGTATGCTTAAAGCCATAAGTGTCGGCGCAAACAAGTACTTGAAAGGTAAAGGTGCTATGATTACCGGTAAACACCAAGGGAAGGCTAGAAGGCTTTCAAGTTGTTAAGGCACGAAGGTCTTGAACTAATCAAAGCATACACGGCTTCTAGTGCGCTGGTGGCAAGGTACGACATTGGTCTCATTAACTCAATGCTTCTTGCTCTGTGCAAATGCCATATTGACATGTCCATAGTCAGCACTACAAGTATGCGTAAACGTTTGCTTCTGGGCAGGTTACCAAAGTACAGGAGACTTGTTTTGTATTCCATTAGCCTATCCATTTCTCTGTTAGTTTCATAACTTTATGTTATTGAATAGTTTGAAAAGGCACACCTTGAAAGCAACGGATTAGACTTTCGGTGGTTTCGGAGAAAAAATTCCTGAAATCGGCCGGGTTCTTCACTAAGGCTGTTACCTTGCTTCCAAGCCGCGGCCTAGCGGAGCGCCTGGAATCAAGGGCAGGCCAAAAAAGGATGCCGATAAACCTGTGTGGGCGGAGTCCCCGCCGGGAAGCGGCATCAGAGGGGGCGGCCGGCAGCTAAGTGGTGATGTCCGGTCTGCCGTCTACACCCGAATGCGGTGCTCATGGAAAACATGGTTCTTGGCTGTTCTTGGTTGAAACCCCCTGTAGTGTCCCTATTGCGTCCCACCCATGTCCCATACTCCCCCTGTCTTTCCTCCATACCCCTCCCTCTTCTGCCCCGCCCTCCTGCCTCATATACCGATTAGGTGGTTGGCGGGGTGAGGATTGGCCATTGGGTTTGTTTCAATGTGCTCCCTGCATGCGCCGTGGTTCTTGGGGTCACCGTACGTAATCAACTGAGCTACGGGGATGGAGCCGCCAGGTTGACGAGGTGCTAAAACAGGGGTGTGGAAGGACACCGCAATAGACCCCGCCGTAGCTCTAACCCGGCAGCCGCTCGCACTAGCGTTGACTGTGAATGAAGTTGGCAGGCGGCCATGCATGCTCCGAACCTGCTATTGCCCAACGCCCTGCGACTCTCAGTCCCTGCCATGACTGGTCTTCAGCCACCAGGCTCCTAACCCCTCCCAAACTCCCTCCACGTGCGCGTGTCCCGTCTTTTCCTCTCCGTGGGCGCCGTAAAAGGGCTTACCCCACCCCTTGGAGTGGGGTAAGCCAGCACAAGCAAATCCTAGCTTAGGGTGGATCTGAAGGACAGGCCCTGAGTCTGTGGGTTGCCTGTCCAAACTCCAAACGCCCCTGTCTGGGCAAGTTGTTCGATGTAAAGTGTGCCCGACTTGACAGATTCTGGCGGTTCTCATGCCTGTTTCCTGCTGGCCCGTTGTGGTGTTGTCTTTCCGGCGTGTTGCCTTCTCTTGCAGTGTAGGGTTGGGTTCATCACCCGTGTTCCCTTTTAGGGAACCATTGTAACGGCGATTCATTCATATTCATATATGCGACGGTAGCCATCTTCGTTGTACACCCTCCACCAGGTATTGCCTATTTGTCTCTGAGGAAATACGAATAAGTGTCCGGCAAACTTCCATGGAGCGCAGTCTTTGTAAAAAGAACTGCCACGACATGCAACTCGCCGCCAACTGCAAACCGTAATGGCAGACCTGAGTTGGAGATTACGAGGCCGCGTCAGCCGTGACTGGGCCGCTGCCTAATGGAGCTATATGTACGAATGAATCCTGCAACTAGAGATGCGGAGCGAAGATAGTGCACGTCGTTATAGAGTGTTGGCAAGATATTTAATGCAACTATCGACTACCGTATAAACATATATATTTCAAGGGCAAACTCCGAGGAAACATAACGGTTCAGCGCTCAATCATAACGTTTCACACAAACCTCGACAAGGTACCAAGATCACACAGTCATGAACGATCCAGCGTCGGATGACCCGGCAGTGGCCAACGCTGCGAATTGGCTCCGGCTCATTTTCCACGTCCTTACATGCAACAACCCAGCATGCGCTTTAGGGGAGCGCTGCTCAGGTGGAAAGCGCCTATTGTCGCACATTCTCACCTGCACCAGCCCGGGCGCCTGCACAGCAGCAGTTCATTCCTGCACATCTGTCCGACAACTGACGCTACACTGGCTAGAGTGCCAGGCGAGTTTCTGCACAACGAACGTCTGTATTAATATGGCCCTTTGTCCTTAGGTTGAAGGCCGCTTGGGTGCCATTTTGCGAACTACCGGTACCGGTACTTTGCAATAATGTCTTTTGTGCGCTTACAGGAGCCAAAACTGTCGGCTTTGCGCTGGTGTCTGGCGAGATTTATTCTGTCACCAGGAGCAGCATGAGGGGCATGGTTTGGACACAGCACCTCCAGAGCAGCCAGGCACGCCTAAACGCGGGAGGTCGCCGGAACCAGTAGACAATGGTAAGCACGTTTTAGCTAGATTTTTGTTCCGCTGGTATTACTCCAGGTGCATGAATCGGACCCGAAGGGCTTACAGTATTGATGTTCTCACCGATGTTCTCAATCAGTAACCGTTATCCTATACCGAAGCGTATGTTATTTGCGGTGGATTGTTCCTGCTTGGTAGCTTGCACTCTTGGTTCAATGCCCAACCCATGACGTCTCACTACACAACACGTACATTTCGCTGTCGTGCTTGGCCTACATGTTCCATCGCGCACTTAGCACTTTAGCCTCTTTCCTCTTTTATCCTCGCAGACTTGCAATACAGCTCCATTGCTGGCAACGCTGCTGGCCGCAGTATGGCTGCCATCGCTCCTGGGGGTGCCACGACGCCGATAAATCCGGCCAACCGAGCTGTGCTGCAGCTGCAGGTGCGTGTTAGTGCGTGTGCGTGTGTGTAACGAGTGAAATACCGTTACAGTGGATTGCATGTCTTCAGGGCTTGCAATAGCCGGCTCAAAGCCTTAACTGTCATGCCGACATGCAATGGGTGTTACTAAAGCTCTGTTATTGTTTCTGTTTTACCCTCTGTCGACCTCCTTGCCTACCGTATGACGCTTGATAATTTCCGGAAACGGTTTGACTTGCCGTGGTCAGAACGGCATGCAAGCATCGTGGCATGTGATGACGGTTGCGACGGAAGCGTAGGCTCCTGCACAGCCTTTGGGCCCAACCAGTGTTCCTTATAGGACTTGATGGGTCGCCTTGGGGGTTTCGGTCATTGTGTTTTCTTGTGGCTAACTGCCTCGGTTTCCTCGCCGCCCCTTTGGCAACCTCCCCAACCAACCGCTCTTTGTACGACAGGAGGCAACGTCGTACATGCGCTACCTGCTGCACACCCTGATGCGCAAGCAATACTCCGGGGTGAGCGCGGGGTTGCATTCGGGTTGGAATGCCGTACTTGGGCCTTCTTGCATGTCACCGTATGCTGGGTTCTCATAAGGTCAGCTCACTCCCTATGTCGTAAAGTACATGAAGGGCGTGTCGTGCTGTGCCTCCCCTTTCCTCGCTTAACAGCTGAAAGGTTCCTGCGCTGCCAATTTCCCCGCTACCAATACCTCCATCATGCTGCCGCACGCAGGACGCGGCGTCTCGTGTCGCGGGCCGCACGTTTTGGCTGGCCGTGCTCCGTGCACCCGCCCTGCAACCGCAACAGCCGCAGCAACGGCGTCAGCTCCCGCAGCGGATGGCCGCGGCGGACGGCGGCATGGGCGCAGCAATGGAGGCAGCAGATGCTGCTGGTGCTGGTGCTGGTGCCGGTGCGGTGGGAGAGGCCTACCTGGAGCCGCCCTCAGCCGCTCCCACCCTGGCTGGCCGCCGGCTGGTGATACACCGCCTCACGTGCAGGGTGGGGACTTGGGGACCAGGGTTGGGCACTTGGATACGGGCTGCCCTCTTGTCGCCGGCACACTCGCAGGACCCCTAGTGCTCTGCCTGCCGTCCCAAACCCTTCCCGTCCTAAAGCCTCACCCTCTCGCTTTCACCTACCTTCTCGCCCGCCCCCCATCTCCCCCACCCCTCGCAGAACCCCTACTGCGCGCTGTGTGCGGGCACCTGCGAGCTCTTCACCCGCGGACATGCGCTGAGGAGCGAGCTGCGAGCGCCCAACACCATGAGGGACATGAACAACATCGTGCAGGTGCGGTTTGGAGGAAACGTGTCGTACTTGGAAGTCGTACGGGACGTCGTACTGGATGGTAGTTTGTCCTCAAACCCAAAACAGAAGGAAATTATGGTTCCACTAACCTACAAGTTGCTCTGCTCCTATGTTACACAGTCTACACACTGTGCAAACCAACAAGCTAACCCTGCAAACCCACAGCCTTTTCTAGTTTTGTTTTTGCTGCCGTGTCCTGTGATGTCTTGCGATGACGGCCATGCATTGTGTTTTAACTATATGCCGCAGGAGTTGAGTTTGGCGCTTGCGTGGTTTCATCTATGAGCGAGCTGTGACTACCCATAATGGCGCTGTGGCCACCCGCCTATGGGAGGCAGCTTGCTTTGTGGGAAGCGGCTCTCGCGTACTACTTGCGTGCTTTGCGCCAGACGACAGCAGCGTCAGATCTGCAGCTCACCAACACTTTTGGCAAGGCATGTGTGCATGGATGGACGATACGTTAAATCTCTTCTCCCCAATAAGAGCAGGTACAGGAGGCCTGCAGTGCTTTCAATGAGGACTTAAATCTAATGAGAACAATCTCCGATGACGCTGGCACCTCATCTGATACGCTACGATGGAGGGGCTGCTGCTGCCCCCTCCACTGCTGCTGCAGCTGCCTTTTAGGTTCCCCGCGCCTTCACATCATGATGGAGCGCGGCCGCACATGACTACATTCGTCGGCTTGTCAAGGCTCACTCGTGCGCCTGACAAACAATTTTTTGGACATGGCTCAACACGTTGACATGAGAGAGTAATACTTGGACGCGGCGAAAACATGTGTCGACACGGAAGGATTTCGGTCGACGTAACAAGTGGGTACTTTGCCATAAGGGAGCGGCTTTTGTTACAGCTGTTTGCAGTACACATAAGTTGCTGACGATGGTTTTTAACCAAAAACGGCATGCCGCCAGTTTTGCCGATTTCCTGCCGGCATCCCGCACGGCCAAACGACGGCCAGTCATTCGTGCTGGTTTTCGGCTCGATCGTAGACGCGGCGTGCCTGGACTAATTTTGCTTCTCAACCACTTTCTCGGTAGTGCTGCACAATGCATTATCACTGTTATCAGCGGCATTTGTTGCAATTGGCATGGGTTTTTCCCTTGATACTCGGACGGACGGACGGACGGACTGCTGGCTGGGGGCTCTGTGGGACGACTGACGTCTCAGGTTTCGCGGCGCATTGGCATCTCCCTGGTATAGTCATCTCCCTGGTATAGCCATCTCGCTGGTCTTTCTGGGCGCATCTGAACAACTTGGCTGCTTAACGGAAGGCTATGATCGTCGGTTTGCCTGGTGGACTCTGCTTCATGTATGACTGGGCCTTCAGCAGCGTCTGGGCGCTAAAGCATGCGAGCTAAGCTGTGCCGTACTTGCTCCCCGCTGCTGCTGCTTGCGCTCGTGTGGACCCCTGATGTGACGAGTTTTCACTTAACCTGAGTAGTAAGTAAGCGGCTACCTTGCACTGCTGGGTGTGTGCAGTGGTGATGGGGGCGGTGGGTGATTTGCAGGGCGACCAAGGAAACGATCGGGGGCCAAGAAAACTACGATGGGTGCGATTCCTCCCGTCTTTCCTAGCCTTACTTATATATACACAATCGCTCTGAAATTGGATGGCGAGCCACGCGTGCGGTGTATAGTGTATGTACGAATTATACGTTATATAGTTCTTTGGTACGAGGTTATTTATTTCGAAGCCAGTACCTCCCAAGCAACCATCCGCAGCGGGCGTTCCGGATGTGCATCTGGGTTTGCACGTTGCTGTTGTGCCTGCTGTCGATGCTGCTGCTTCATTTGCTTTTGGTGAAAACAACTGCTGTGCGGCGGATCCTGGGTGCTGTTGGGCTTTTTGTGTGCATTGGCGTGCGGTTAGTGTCAGCTACTGAACACAGCGCCTAACCTGTCCAACAGGCGCTTCCACGTCTGCCTGCCTAGCTGCACGCTGAGCAAGCATTTCGTTGGGTTCAGCTGAGCTTTTTTGGTGCCGCAGTTAAGATTGTTAATGGGTCGATGCATAATGGATCGGTGTTACGGGATGCTAACCTTGTTATGCTTTAAGCGTGGCCCGTTATATGCGGTTGGTTATTAAATCTTGGTCGTTCTTGAAGGTCTCTTAGGGTAAACGGTAATAAGGCGGGTTGTGATGGTTCCCAAATTGTGGTGATTTCCAAGATGTGGTGGTTCCCAAAAAGAGATCTAGGACCCGGGTGTGTGGTGCGTTTTGGTTGCACAAGTGGGTCCAATCGGGGATTTTACAGGAGACGCTTCATCAGGGAGATTGCATACCGCCGACAGTGTGTCTTAGGTATCGCATGTTAAAATAATGTTTCTGCTGGCATGTCGTACGTGCATCGGGCTTGTGTTTAGCCCACCCAGGCCTCAACTTGTTATTTAATTATTAGTCACTGTGGTCCGGTTCCGAGCGTTTACATGGCGTTACATGTTGGGCTGGTTGTTATTGTTGGCTGCTGTAAGGTTGCATGCTGCTCTGGCAGAACAAATTCTTGCTTGGGCGGACGTGTCACCCGATGGGCCCTCAAGTGTTGTGTAATAAACTTTATTTACCTAGCGATAAGCTTAGTTGTCGTTGGCGGTTAAGGCCACGTTGTACAGCAATATCTTCTAAAGTTGGTTAGAAGGGGACTGTATGCCTTTCGTTGGAACGTTGGGTTCATCGGATGGGACCGATACTGTATCTTGTCAGGTGCTGCCTAGATGTGGTTTCCGAGCTGCTTGTCAATGGTTTCAAGCCGTACGACATGCTTTTCGTACGGCGGGTGGATGGTCCGATGTCTTTACATGAAAGACTCTTGCACGGGGTTTATACCGTAGGGAAATTTGAACCCTCCGCCGCACACTTAATTCAAAATGCACACATAATTCAAAATCCGACAAGACGTACGCATACCCCTTTCAGCAGTCTATAGAACCCATTAACAGTGAGAGCACCAAACAGCAGGCACACCGTAAAGCTCCCGGCAAAGTAAGCACGGCAGCTGTTCATTGGCCAGTACTTTACCCATATCAACAGATAGCTTACGATGCACAACCCAAACCCTAGAGTGTATGGCATTCCCCCATAACATCACATCCCTTCATGCGCAGCAATGGTAATCACAGCATATCACAAAAGTGTGAACTCCATTGAAGCCTCACATTTCTTTACGCGCACCAGCAGTGGTAACCACAGCAGCATATCACAGCGAACATTGCCTCACTCACGTTACGGACAAAGATACGGACAGCTCGGATTGGGAGCGACCCATGGGCCCGTAGCGCTCCACTGGTTACCCCTCATCAGATGGCCGGTAGGTCACGTGCTGCATGCGCGCTCGTTCCGCACAGCAAGGGGTCCCACATACCACAGCAACCAGCAAACACCCTCCCAGCAGCATGCAGCGCACAAGCGAAATCACATGCATGGACAAGGGAAACCACCTCGTGTCGTTATGCATGTGAGCCCAGGCAGGAAGCATGACTGTATTAATGAAAGCCGCAAATGCGCATGCAGTTGGCCAAAGCCTGCCCCTGCGGAGCCCAGTGGCCGACTCCATACCCCGGGTGCACGACAGATCACCATCTCGTGTACCGGTAACTTGCACACTACTGAAGATGACGCTTTGCACGCTACAATTGTACTCGTTCAATTTTAAGAAAGGCCCGCAACCGTCTCCCCCTCAACAGATCCGCGCACACTCAAGGAATACAAGTACACAAGTAATACTTTACTTCAAAACCAGTTGTACGACAGAGAAGTTGTACGACAGGCCATTAGTACGACAGTACCGGTTGTACGACAGTTGGATGCATGGGCGCATGCATGCAAATGGTATCCAGAAACATTTGATATGAGCCACCGGACCAGCAGGGACAAGAACGGCCGGTAAAACTAGGAAACTTGGGCCACGCTTGGGGCCGCCCGGCTGATCAGCATCCTGTAAAGCCTCAAATGGCCACATCGCACGTGAAATAGTAAGTACTATAGTAAGCCCAATTCACGAAGAACGCGTGTAACGGCACTGAACTCCTCCCCACGCGACTGTAGTCCTCATCAGCAACTCTAGCCCTCAACTCCTGCAAGTAAAGTCAGAACCCAACGACCATCCCTCGATCGGGTGCTTTCACGTACGACCTACCACTCATACAAGCTGAGCATTTGGCAACCCCAATGTTGTTAACTAATCGAATCCAAAATCACCCCTGCCTGAAGTGCTCATTACCTCCAAAGTTCGAACGAAGTCGCGATGACGTTCCCCTTACGCCCACCCAACCAACTGTGTCAGCTAGTCGGTTGTAACCAAGAAACAAACCAAAATTCTTTAAGACAGGAGAAGGTTTACCCCGTTAATCACTCCCAACACACATTTTTACGGTTTTCCTTGTTTTTGCGAATAAACGGGCATCGCCATACACTGCACGACAATGCTGTGGGGCGCCATACGACTAATATATCTGCGCGGTGACGAGAAAAACCTTTTGCGCAACGACTTATCCTTATCCCGAATATGCTGGTGTATGATGCGTGCGAGGAAGTTCAATATACAAACACTTTACGAACTCAATTTCCCAAAAGCTCTCGTCGCTACAGTCTCGCTACAGTGTTCCATGTCACAAGATCCATTAGCGAAAGGTAGCATGCATCAGCTCGCAGCTCGTATAACTAGGAACACCTTTGCACACACTGACGCTCGCATTTCAGCCTGCCTGCCTGCACACCGTACGTTGCCAGCGCTTTTGCAGCCAGATGGGTCATTGCCTTCCACGCAAACAAGCGGCCCATACCTCAGGCTGCCTATTTGGAATAGGAGGGCGCCTACGAAGCAGTCTCATTACCACAAAGGCTTGTTCCCGGATGCCGCTGCTAGTAACGTACTACGCACCCATTCGCCTGCCGGCCCAGCCACACGCTGCGCCCTTCAGCAACAACCCAAAGTGCATCCTACTCGGCAGCCCTGGTGTTTCCCTTACTTAGGCTTCCCCCCCACCTCCAATTTCACCTCCACCGTAGCAGTAAGTCATCCAAAGCTCGCATACCTCGGACGTTTCACCCACTTGCTCTCACGGGCGCTGTTGCAGCTGCTGCCGCTTTACTACCGCCGCTCCTGTTATCGCTCTACGCTGTCTCTCATTGGCCGCCGCTGCTGACACTCCTACTACTGCTCCTCGGCGGCTGCTGCATGCCCTCCTCCTCCTCCACTGATGCTGCTGCTTCTCCCTTTGCTACAACCGCCCTTGCAGCCACCCGGACACGGCTGCGGGCTGTTCCTCCGCCTCTGCCTTCTTCCATCTGGCTATGCCTCTGCTGCTGCTACTGCACCTCCTCCCTTCCCCTGCTACTGGCATTGCGGCTCCTGATCATTTCCTTCGGCAGGTGGAGCTGCACGCGCACCGCAGCATCCAAGGCGGAATCCGCCGCCCCCACCGCCGCTACTGCCGTCGTCGAGCTCGCAGCCGCAACCACTGATGATGGCGGTTAAGGTGGTGGTTGGGAGTTGGACGACAATGACAATGATGACATTGGCAACACTGCTGGTGGCTGCGATTGCGGAGACTGCTGCTGCTGCTCTGGCTGCAGCAGCGGCTGCTTTGGTGACAGTGGTGATAGAGGCGACATTGGTGGAGGTGGTTGCAGGCATGCCGACCACCCTCCTGAAACCAAGATCCCACCCTCAGCACGCAAGGACGACGGAGTAAGCTGCTGCGCCGGCTGTCGCTGTTGCAGCTGTGGCTGTTGCTGCAGTTGTTGTTGTTGCTGCTGCCTTGACGAAATCCGCTGCTGCTGCTGCGCCGGTGCTGGCGGCAGCGGCATCTGTGTTACAGTCGCCGCCGCTGTCACCGTCGCCGCCGCCACCACCGCCGCCGCCCTCCTGTTCTCCACCTCTTGAGCCTCCGCCAGGAGAGCCTCTATCTCCGCCACGAGCTGGGATGCGGTGAGGCGACGGGAGGGCTGAGACGACCAGCAACGAGCCGCCAGGTTGCTGCGTGTGCGTGTGTGTTTTGCACGACACGGACATGGGGAGAAGGGGTGTACGACAAGTCACGGTTAGAGTTTGTACGGAAATGGTGATGAAAACGTTGGGGCGGGTTATTAGGGGCAGTTTGTGTTTTTCTGTTCTTTTACGCCTATTGCTGTGAAAGAGCGCAAACTCCCAGGTCGTTCAGAAGGGCCCACTGATCCCCCCAAAAGCCGATTTAAATGTTATGGTCTATCTTAATTTTTATACTATTTTTAAGGCTTTTGTTAGCTATTAAAATATATGAAAGTCGATTTTCTATACTATTTGTATATCAATTTGACGAGCTTGCTAATCTTTTGTATTTTTGGATTTATAATTAACTAACACAAAGCCACGTGGTGCGCTGCTTGTACGGCGGAGTGTGCAGCAGTACGACATTTCGCTCTCACCAGTACTCGGTTGGGGCGAGCGGGTGGAAGTCGGGTCTCAGGTGTTGCCGGAGGACCAGACGAGGCAGGGTCTGTGGGGACGGAAGAGGGCGGGAGGGGGGTGCAGCGCGCAGGAGGTGTGTTGAGAGGATTGGCCGCGAGTCGGAATGTGTTGTGGAAGGAGGTGTGTTGAAGCAACTGAGCTTCACAACAATGCTGACCATAATTGTGGACCGAGGAGGAGGATCAATCGACTTTACGGTAACAGGTAATATAAGTGCGCGTACGTGGCATTACTTGTGTGCGTGTATCATGATGCAAGGACGTTTTTGTTGCTAATCTTATGCTTGGAAGCCCAGGAAAGAAGTGAAAAACGCCCGGCATGCACCTGCTTTATTATTCACCTGTGCATCAATGCCGGTGTACGGTGTACGACACATCAGAAGCTCGTACATCAGAATTCCAAAAGCTGCAGCATTTATGGGGAGAAGAAGTACAGAGGATTGCATTAGTTATCATATCAGCGATGATGGCAAGATAAGTATTTGACCAACACATAATTCAACGTAAAAACACGACTTGCTAGAACTTGTGGACGGAAAGAGAAAAAAACGAGTTAACTATAAAGAAAACACTTGCAACAGCTGCTTGCAACAAAAATTAAAGCTGCTCGTCAAAGAAGTGTCGGCCGCTGCGGTTTCGTCGCCACAGCGTAAACAAACAGTGCAACCTACCTCTTACAACACCGCCTCCAAAACAACCCACCCACCGTATATGTCCACAGCCGCCCCCAGCGTGTGTCCGCGGATGAACGACTCGGGCGCCATGTAGGCAATGGTGCCTGCGTACGGCACACATCAATGAGGCATTTGAGAGTACGACATTCCGCAGTTAAGGTTGCATAGGATATTACGTAATCAAGATGAGAGCATACGGCTATCATGGCGTACGGCACTCATCGAAGTTTAGGCTCTTGGCGCGCCATGCAGGCAATGCTGCAACCCTACCTCTCATCCACCACCACCACCACCACCTCCTCCCCAACCCACCTAGCGGCTGAGCCACCCTGAACCCGAGCACCGTGGGCTGCTGCTGCTGTTGCTGCTGCTGGGACCCTGCTCCGCCTGCTCCTCCGTTGTTGCCCCATGCATGCTGCTGCTGCGGTTGTTGCAGTTGCCTCATCTGCTGCCTGTGTGTGGTGTTATGAGGGAAGTGGGCAAGTGGACAAGGATGGCAAAGCTTGAAAGCAAAGCTGGGGAGACGACGGTCAATCAGAAGGCAATAAGCGGAGGTCGAACGGGAAGCAATTGGGAAGGACCGCATGGGAAGGAGGAAAGGGAACCTACCCGTGCGGAGATAGAGGGGAGGCGGAGGGACGTAAGGAGGGGCCTGCAGGGGTCCCGTTCGCCCCCGCAATGTTATTGCCGCTACCCATGCTGTTGACAATGTTGTTGTTGCTGCTGATGTTTTGTACTGCAGCGTTCGAGTCTACGCCGGGGATGCGACCGCCCCAGCCGATATCCGCAGCAGCAGCAGCGGATCCCTTGGGACCGGCACTACCGCCGCCACCGTTGCCGCTGGAAAGGTGATGTTTGCTGCTGTTTTGACGGTTGGCGTCGGTTGACGGTTTACGGTGGTTACAGGTAGTTGGTACGGAAGGATCCGGAAGCTCGGTCATCAGCCGTACACAACCGAAATCGCTCAACTACATGTACAACGCGGGAATGAGAGGAGATGGGGGGGAACGGGAAGGGTAGTTAATACCGAACTTGTAGGGGAAGAAGAAAGCAAAAGGGGCGGGGAAAGGATGGGTTGCGAATGTGAGGAGGCCGGGGGCATGGGGCAAGCAGGCAAAGGGTGGGGAGCAGCAAGGGGAAACGTCAAGCAAACCCCCATGCACATGAACAAGCTCGCCCACATGGTTGCGCGTTCAGACCCATGGGTCACCGGACCTGCCCCCTACCATCCCTACCTTGCACGTCCAGCCCCGCGGGTCACGGGTGGAGCTCTTGAGCAGCACATTGGCGGGTTTGAGATCGCAGTGAACGAGGCGCCGGGAGTGGAGGTAGCGCAAGGCTAGGGCGACCTGTAGGGTGGAAGGGAAGGGGGGATGCCGGGGGGGGTTGGTTGCGACGGTTAGTGGCTGCATGTAAAGAAAGAGGAGCAACGCCAAAAAGGAGGAAGGGTGGTGGGTACCGGTGGGTGAGTGCAGGCAGCGGTCTGGAAGGGTAGAAGGTAAGGTCTACGAGGTACCGGAAAGGCCCCATTGGTGCTGGAGTATCGAATGCATCCACAACACCCCAAACACCTCAAAATCCCTACCTAACCCCCAACCACTACCAACCACCCCACCTCCAGCAGGCTCTTGTACAGCGGCACCAGCGCGGGTCGTACGGCACCCGCCAGCAGCGAGCCCCCTGGTGGTCGGAAGGCGCCCGCGTGGGCCGCCTGCAGCAGCGTGCCGGAGTCGCAGTACTCCAAACACACCACGGTGTTTAGCGGGCCTGCATGGAGGGGTGGGAAATAATTAAATAAGTGAAACAACGAGTCGGGTGGGGGTGGTAAGGGACGTGGTGGACAATACTTCGGGCCATGTGACATACCGGTATGTGAGCCGGCTCCACCATGGGTTGCATTGCAGGATGGGGTTGTGTCTTGTGCGTACTAGGCCCTTCCCTTCCTCACTGTCTGCCTACCCGGGTAGCGCGTTTCAGAGCGTAGTGTTTGCTGATTCGCTCACTGCATGAGTTGGGTCATGGGATTGGGACTCCAGTGCTTCGCTTCTCCAAGTATATCTTCCCCCCCCTCTCTCTCTCCCTTACCCGGGTTGACCCAGCCCGTCAGGACGGGGTCGTCTTTGGTGACCAGCTTGAGCCTGGCAGTGGTCTCGTTTCGGTAGGTCACTCGAACCATGATCACATCGGAAAAGGAGGCCAGGATCTGGTTGGGTTGGGATGGGGTCGAGGTGGGGTGGGAGGGAGGGAGGATGCCGCGACGGGAGGGACAGAAAGAAGACAAGCGACAGGGAGGATATACCGTAAGTGAACGGGAAGCAAGCTGGGGATATAGTTACTATATGACACATTTGCCAGAAGCAGAGTGTGTTAAAAACATTGGACGCGCGCGTGTGTATGTGTGTGTGTGTTTTCCTTTGTTGTATGCTGCGCAGTACTACAGGAGTACATACCCACCTGTACGATGTTTGGGTGGGACAGAGTGCCTGTCACCACCAGCTCCATAGCGCCGCGCTTGGCCTGTTTAGGCAACGAGCGAAACATTAAATGTGATACATTTGGCTGTGATAAATTCAGCCTAAGGTCGGAATATCCAAGCATGGCAGTTAATTACCCGCTCGTGTAACGCGTTGCTGTACCAAGTAGATCCGTGCCAAGTCCTCAGCACCAGCCCCATTTCCCTCCGCAGCAGCGCCCCAGCCGAGTCCGCACATACGCTATACACATACCCCGCATTTGCCGTACGTGAATACAAATGCCTTATAAACTTTCTATCGTAGACCGTACCTTGCGAATTCGGGCCAAGTCCTCGGCTCCAGCCCCTTCCTGTCCCTCCGCAGCAGCACCCTCGCCCCCAAGTTTTCTCGCAGCCGCAGCGCCGCGGAAGCAATCGTCATCTCCATTCGAGCCGACGGCGGTGCCGACACCTGGGTCACCTGCGCAGTGATGTACGGCCAACATGCAGTGTGACATGTTTTAATTACGACGCCCACTCATCCGTTACAACGAAAACAATGCAACAATACCGGGTATGCGTTTGTACCCAACCATGAGGGTCTTGGGCGTGAGACGAATAGTGCTCAGGCAGTGGAAAGGATCACGCGTGCGCTCAGCACTGCACTGCGCCAATGCCTTACTGCTGGGGTAAGAGCTGGTCCTCGTGCGGCTGTTCGAGGAGATGCTGATGCTCCGTGGTGGACAGAGGGGTGTGCGGAGGCGAGGAGGGGCATGCTTGAGCAGAAGGCGCATATGCGTGCTAATGGGTTGCTTGAAAATGCGGAGGCGCGTGCTTTGTTCAGTCAGCTGCGTACCAGGTATCAGCGCATAAAGCGTGAGGCTAAGGAGGTGTATCGGACTGAGCTCTATGTCAAAGATATTCAGGCTTGCAAGTCAGACCCGCAGTATTTATGGCGTCGCCTCAATGAAGGAGCCCCTCGTGGCTGTGCTGTCCCGGATGTTGCTAGCTGGCGTGACTATTTTGATAACCTCTACAACGGCAGTCCGAATGCTTTTAATGCGGTGAACGCCGATGCCGTCCTAAGCATGACGCATGGTGTTATCCATGGTAATGGCAATGGTGGCTTTCGTAATGCCGATGGATGGAAGGAGAGGGTACGTGCTGCGGCGGCGTTGAATGTGCCTTTTACTCTTGATGAGGTTAAAGCCGCTCTACGTTCGCTGCGTAACAATAGGTCAGGCGGATTGCAGAAAATGCCTGCTGAATGTTTGAAGCGGGCGTCTAAGCAAGGTCGTACGGTCTATGTCTTGGCACCTTATCTGTTGTCGCTGATGGAGCATATTAGGTCCACGGGGGATTACCCTCAGCAGTTTGAGGTCTCGGCACTCACTCCTATCCATAAGAAGGGTGACGTGTCGGACCTAGGTAACTACCGTGGGTTGGCTGTTGGGGGCGCGCTTGCTAAATTGTATGCTTTCCTTTTGGAAAAGCGGCTTAACTCTTGGGGAGAGGAGTCTAAAGGGCGCTCCCCTTTCCAGGGCGGTTTCCGGAGGAAACGGGGTTGCATACACAACCTCTTCATTACGCGGCATTTGACGGATAGGCATAGGTACGGCCCGGCTTCTAGCTTACCATTGTTCGCGTGCCAAATTGATTTTGAGAAAGCCTTCGACCGAGTGCCGCGCGATCTTCTTTGGTTGCGTCTAGAGGAAAGGGGTGTGCAGGGTGGCATGTTGGATGCGTTGAAAGCCTGCTATGACAGGGTGCAACTGCGGGTGCGGGTCAATGGGCAGACTGGTGACCCCTTTAGCTCCTCTCAAGGAGTTAAGCAAGGGTGCCCGCTCAGTCCCACACTGTACGGTTTCTTTGGGGAGGGTTTTGCCGACTATGTAGAACCCAAGGACCAGTGGATGCCGGCGCAGCTAACGCATGTCGCTGAGTGCCCCGAAATAGATGGACGGAGGCTGCCTCTGCTGCTGTATGCGGACGATCTGACCCTTTTCGCGTACTCGCATGGACGATTGCGCTTCCTCCTTGGGGCGCTCAGTGAGTGGTGTGGTGCCTTTGGTATGCGTGTGAACGTCCGCAAGAGTGAAGTGCTATACTTCCACCCCAATGCTCGTAACCGTGCGAGACGTACAGTCGTAGTGGCAGTAGCGTTCAGTATGGAGGTGGGTTAGATAATGGAGATGCTCTTCAGACTATCCCCTGGGTTTTGCGTGTGCGCTATCTAGGGTTACACTATGGACCGAATGCGCATTTCTCCACCTGTGCTACTGAATCGGCACAGAATGGACGGCGGGGGTGTTTTGCTTTGGTGACGAAGCTGAAGAAGAAATGCTTACTGTTAGGTCCTACTGCTATGAAGAGTTTTAATGCGCAAGTTCGTCCCATGCTGTCGTACGGTGCCCAAGTATGGGGGCCTGATGCGTTGTTGCGTATGATGGAGCGACCCGCCCCTGCCGCTGCAGATGGAAGGTGTCTGTGGTTTGAACGGGCCCTTGAGGATGACTTAGTGAAGGTACAGAAAGACTTTCTCCAGGAACTTGCTGGTGCTCAACGGCCTACAAATCGGCTACTGTTTCGTGAGTTTGGGCAACGTCCGTTGCAGCAGCACTGGGCCGCGTTAGCGTTCCGGTTTTGGAATGATTTGTGTCAAGCTAGGGATACAATTTATCACAGTGCCTTCAGGAATGAATTACGGTTGGCGTTTGAGTCTGATTTCAACTACGATGGCTGGGGTGCGAAGATGCTACATGTGTATCGGTGTTTGGGGTATAACCTTACGGGTATGAGGCAAGATATGGATATTGACAGCAAGGTTAACTGTGCTGCCTCTACACGGGTAGAAGTTGGTGAATTACTAAAGCTGCTTAAGCGGCGTTTGGATGAGGACTGGACTAGTGCTCGGCTTAACTGTGACCCGCGTAGTTTCGTTACGGATAACCTTCAACCGGGAGTGAAGATGTGTCGTGCGGTGAAATGGATGGGTACTGCCTCGTATCATGACACCTACATCCCGCGCAGGCACTATGTGTCACTGAGCCGTTTTCGTCTATGTGCTTGGCCACTAGCTGTTAACCGACCGCATGGGGTTGTCCGCAGTGAGCGCTGGTGCAGGATGTGTGGATGCCGAGATGCGGTGGAGGATGAGTTGCATGTACTGCTGGAATGTCCCGCCTATAATGAGATTAGAGATGAACTGGTGAGCAATGGTGTTGCTTTAGATCAGGGTATGCTTAGTGTTATGAGTACTCCTAATCAAAGATTGCTTGCTAAAGTGGTAGACAGGATCGCTGTAGTCTTGACACTTAGGCTGGTTGCTGCTTCCTACTTTTCTGCTTTTTGTTTCGGTTACATGTGAAGTTTACTTTCTTTTACTTTTTTACGTTGTTTGTTTTGTTTGTGTGTGCGGTCCATGAGCCTCCTGGCTCGTCTGGGCCTTACGAGCCATAGAGCTTGTAACAACTCACTCACTCACTCATATTATTAAATGAGAATCGGGGGTTCGGTTAAACCACGTGTCTTCCCTAGAGCACACGGCTGTATGAAACAGCACAGTTGCGATTTCCAACCACGAACCACGAACGACCCACGGGTCCCTCGTAAGGACGCCTACCTACCTGCGTCGTGTGCCAGCGGTTCGCCATTGCCGCGATGCACGATCACCTTGACCGCGGTTTCCAGTCCGTGAAGAGTTCCATGGAACACAACACCCTGTGCAAGCGTGCGGCGTACGGCATAACGAGTTAGGTGGGTGCAATTGCACGACAGTTGCGTGTACCGGTAAACGGCGGTTACGGGAGTGAAAAAGCCGGTATCCTGCTTGAAACTCCCCAAACATGACTCTGTAAACATTATCTGTATGTAACCTTCCAAAATGACCTCTAAGGATTCGCACGCCATACCCTAAGCAACCATGACACACACCTGCCCGCCCCGACCGATCACTTCAAAGAGCCGGATCGCCGCAAGCTCCTGAGACATCGCGGCCCTGCAAATGTGTGGGGGTGTACAGCAGCAGGGGTGTGCAACAGCACACATGTACGGCATGCAAGCACGACATAGCTGGCAACGTGCCAAGTACACGGCAGTTGAACAACGTCCTGAGACACATGTCGGCGCCTTGCGTGTAGAGTCGTGCAACAATAAGACGTCTTTTCACACGTGTACGGCACATTTGGCATTGTCCGGCAGCATTGTACAAGATCGATATATAGTATAGCATACAACCGTCAACTACCAACCGTCAGCGAAAACCCGCCCACCTGGCTTCATCCGAACTCTCGAGCAGCATGGCGTTGCTGAGGGCAGCGGTGAGGCCGGTTCGCATGGAGGAAACCATGACCTGGGAGGGGAGGAGGGTGGTGAGAGGATGACAGGGGGAGGCATCAGTGCGCATGTAGGAAAGCATAATATGTTGGGCTTGCATCCGTTTGCCCCCGCCCTGCTCCCCCCCTGGCATACACAGGGGGCCAGTTGCCTTAACACCTCCGTTTCCTTAGCGCAAACGCGTTTTCCGAGGGGACTTGATCTTCCGGAAACCACTGTGTGTTTCCGTCTCGCGGCCAGTTTTCTGAACAAACATGGACACTAACGCGGTCGTACGACGATCGGGTTGTACGACACAACAGGAAGTACGTCGCTACAGTCTTACCTCCAGAGGAGAAGGCCCCGCGGCGGGCGCCTCCAGCAGCACCTCTGGGGAGCTCGCCACCATCCAACTGAGAGAGCCCGCGTCGTCTGGGGACAGACCGCTGACTCCCAGGGCGCCGGTGGTGACCCCTGGGTCGGTCGGAAGGCATTGTGGGGGCGGACCAGATGGGTTGCGGCAGCGCACAGACGATGATGTTGCCGGGACGAGTCTTCAGCTCGTATGGATATATGGGAGCACACGACTTCCGCTTCTTTACTTTGTTTAGTGGACATGTGCATCCCCTCCGATACACACACACATGTCCCCCGTGAAGCCTCCCCTCCAGCCCCCTCAATGCCCCTCTCTACCGCTTTTTGTGAGCACCGGTCCACTCATCGCCCTCCTAACAGGCTGGGACCCACCACCGCCACCACCACCACCACCAACCTACCCCCTACCACCCCTCCTATGCGTGCTTCTAGGATAGTGTCTCCGAATGCGCTCACTGCATGAGTCGGGATATGGGATTGGGACTCGTTGTTTCACTTCTATAATTTTTTACCCCCTACCACCATCCCAACCTCCTCATGCTTCGCAAGTTGTACTTGGCACCCCCCTAAGCCACTCTTAACTGCACCGCCCCCTCCCACCTACTGCTGCCGCAGCTGCCGAGCCCTCCAGCCCGCGAAACGCCTCGTCGAGCGCCGCCTCTCCGCCACCACCCGCCCGGGAACCTGAGGGACGGGGAGGAGGTTGGCAGAGGGTTGGGGGGGGTTGAAGGGAGGGTTTCGGGCGGTTTAGGACCGTTAGAAGGGTTAAAGGCAGCCAGATTCCAGGCCATACACACGAGGAGATGGGTGGGATGGGATGAGGTTGGGGGCTAACCGTACGACAGCGAGTTTAAAGAAAGTGTGCATACCGTAGGGTGTACGACAACCCAACGAACCGTACCTCGACAGCCGGCCTGATTGGGCTGACCGTTATGGTCGTTAAGCTGACTCGACATTGCTCGAGCCAGCGCCAGCGATCTGAGTGCTCCGTGCGCTGCCCCTCCTCCTGAGCGAAACACACCGCCGCTTCCCCCACTGCCAAGCCCACCACTCCCTACAGCAGTAGCGCCCCCGCCAACAAGTGTGCCACCGGCTGCTGCTTCTGATGCAAAATTGGCACAGCCGCCGTTGTTGGAGGGGCCGCGGAGGCAGCTGGAGCCGCTAACGGGGCGGCTGCCGCCTGTACTTGCGTTGAGGGCGAGCAGGGCGCGGGGCAGCGGCTTGGGTTTGAAGGCTTTGAGGGGGAGAAGGGAGGGGGGTGGAGGGGTAGGGGGGTAGGGGCAGTGAGGGAGTGGGAGAAAGAGAGACGGGAAGTGGTGCATGGGTGAGGCGGCGCGGGGGGATGGCGGTGCGCAGGTGCGTGGAAAGGTGCAAAGGGGTGGTACGGGTGTCGGCAGGGTGCGGTTGTTGGACTCGGCGGCTGCTAGGAAGTACAGAGCAAGGGAGAGCCGCAAGGAATGATGGGAGGACATTCGCAAAGCCGCCTGCCCTCCTTCGCACGGCGCGTCATGCCGCCGTGTAACACACACAGAGACCCAAGTCATGGACCTGAACGTGCTTCGCACTTGACACTAGACGCACAGACCCGTGGGTCACACACCATCATACCACTTCGCCAACACACGACGCACCAAATGAACGGCCCCCGGCCCGACGACTCAGCAGCGACGGCGCCGCAACTCCGCCGCCCCCGCCTCCGACAGCTGCGGCGAATGCAGCCGCAAGCGAGCTAGACCCCTGACCGCCGCTGCCCCAACCAGCGGCACCCCCGCCGCCGCTATTGCCGCCGCCGTTACTTGCGTTCGCCGCCGCCACCGCCGCTGCCGCCGCAGCCTCCGCGGGGCTCGCGCCGAGCATTTGCTCTTGGAGGGAATACAGCTCGAAAGCCAGACGACCGCAACAACCACCACCACCACCGCCGGCGCCGCCACCGACGTTGGTAGGGGTGGCAACAGTGCTGCCGCCGCCGCCAGCGTTTACGGGAACGCTGCCAGCGGTACCGCCGGCGCCTCCGGGGCGTGTTGTTGGAGGTGACAGCGAGTGCGAGAGACAGGCGCCGACCTCACGACAAGCGCTCAAGGCCGTCTGGGATTGGTGGGTGGATGAGGAGGTGGTTGGTTTGGGTGGTGGGCAGGAACATGTGAGCGGTTTGGTTACCGGTAGTCTTCTGTCACTGTCACGGTGTGTTCGGTTTCGATGAGCACACATGAGTACAAAGCCCAAGAACCCCTACGAACACCAACCGTGACCCACATGGGGGTACCAAACCACCGTATCCCGTACACGCGTCCATGCGCAAACATACCGCGCAGTGTGACCCATGGGTCGCGACCCCTCGCGACTCACCCAAAACCCCACTCACCCCCAGAAGCACTTTGAGCTCCTCCGCTACCGCTTGCAGCACGGGTGCGGGCAGCGGCTCCGAATACACCAAATACATCCCAAACACCTGCCGGCTAGCAACGCTACCCCCTCCGCCGCCGCCTCCTACTCCCCCTCCTGCACTTGCGCCGTTTGTGAGGTTTGTCGCGCCGGTGCCTTCAGCCGATGTGGGTGCGGTGCGCGGCGCCAACGGTGGTGGTTGCTCAACCGCCAGTACGACAGCCCCGTTACTGCCCGCGGCCGTTAGGTTGCATGCTAGCAAGAGGTCCCGGCAGGGTGCACCCTCCTCTAGGAAATGAGTGGCTAGGTTGGGAATGGTGGTGGTGTAGAGGGGAAGGGTAGGTATGGCAGGTGGTGGTAGCGGTTGGGCGGTTGCGTTGACACCGTTGGCAGTTGGACTGGTGGCCCCGCCGCCGCCAGGACCTCCAACGTCTTCGTTGTCATGGCTGCTGAGGAGCTTGGGTGGGGTGGGGACTTGCGATAAGGAGGAGGTTGGATCAGGGCTATGGGAGGCGGGGTTTCCAGGTCGTTGGTGCTGCTGCTTGGCAGCTGACCTATAGGGATGCGAGGTAGGAATCCAGGCAGGGAGGAGCACATCGTGGCAGGAAATACGGAGTAAGACAGTGGATGCAGATCAGGATGGATGCAACAAACAGGCGGCATTAGGAATGCAGCCGACTGATGTAGCAAACTTCCTGCAGCAGCACAGGTGCTGAGCCATGGGTCGTTTACCCCAGCAACACCCCGCCCACAAACACAACACTGGGTTGACCGTTTCACCCGGGGGGCATCCCTCAGCAAAGTTACATGCTGACAAACAATGAACAATAAACTCTTGCGCCCTTCACCTTCTAACCACCCACCTGATGGCATCCGCCAGCAAGGTGTGATGCAGTGAGATGCGTACGGCACGCACCCTCGATTCGCCCAAGAAACTACCACCACCGCAGTTGCCGTACAATGCATCTGCCGTTGCTGTGCTAACCGCCTCGGAATCTGCCGGACCTCCATCGTGCGGCAAGTGGACACTGATGCCACTAGCGACCCGCTGGGTCGGTCCACCTGCTACGCCAAGACCGCTGAACACTCGCAAGGGGCTGTTGCTGCCACCGATTGACCCGATTCCGGCATTTCCGCCGCCACCCGCACTGCCGTAGCCGTTAGCTGCGGTGGGTTGCTGCGAGGTATCACCCAGCGACGGTTGTTGGTTGCCGTTGGTTGGTGACTGTTGTCGTCGGGCGAAGAGGACCGCGGGGCTGGAAGCCGATCCCAGTGACAGCAGCAGCACGGGCTGGAAGCGCAGAGCAAACCGAATGTGGAGGAGCTCCGGAATCGCCTCCAACAGACACATCACAAAGTCGTGAAGACCGTTGGCGGATGGCAACGACGCCAATCCGTACGACACCTGGAAGGAATGAAACGAGGAAAAGTGGTGCTCCTGTCGGCAAGCAACGGACGGGATAAAAGCACACAAAGCAAGCCAGTGCCTTTGGACACGGACGTCCTGGTAACCGGGCAGAAACGTTGCACTGGGTGATTGAAGCAGCAGGCATCCCTCTGGAGGGACAAGCACTACACACGCAGTACAGCGCCCAGCACACAGCCGTTGTCCGTTAGGATCTTAGATCTTAGTGCCTGTACGACATGGTCAAAATCTGTCAAACCTGCTTCGCACCTGCTCCAACATCCGTGCCTGTTGTGGATCGCTGGCCAGTCCAAACACTAGGAACCGAGCCAACAGCTGAAGCTGTGACAGCTCCGTTGGTGTGATGGTCATGCCGCTACCGCCGCTGCCACTGCAGTCACTGCCGTAATGCGCTCGCCCTGCCGCCGACGGAGGCTGTTGCTGCTGCACTACTCCCGCCGAAACTAACAAAGGTTCTGCTTGTGGTGGTTGTTGCCGCAGCTGCTGTGCTGCTGGCAAGGGTTGTTGGTGCTGGTTGTCCCAACCGAGCATCAACGCCGCCACCAACCGACCCTCATGTCGTACGGGTAGGACAAGCAGGTCCGAAGGTTGTATGTTGAGGGGCAAGCTGGCGGATCGAGACACATAGGCAAAGGGGTCCGGAGGGCTTGTACGGCAACATCCGCCGGGATTGATGTTGGAGGAGGTGGCAGCAGCAACACCGGCAGCTGCGGCAGACAAGCTGTCAGGTGCTGCAGCTGCACTGGAGGAGGCATTGTAGCCTCGAATGATGGCCACAGACTCCAGCTGCAGGTAGAGGATTGTCAGGCATGGGTATTGGTCGCTGGAAGGGAAAGGAAGCCTGACGAGCCTTCAAAGCATATGTTTACAACTGTGCAAGGATGCCACCACTTGTGACGTTGCGAGGTCACGAGTCACTGGGACATTTGGATGCTGCTGAGGAGATGTCAGTAACAAGCTAACAACAGTTGGCAAACTCCAAACAATTCGCTATTGAATTGAAGTAGACTGTGTTCATTATGCCCGCTAACTCTGTTGTCAGCCATCGTGCCTGTGATTGATCGTGCCTGTGACTGACAATTAGTTGGAGATTTGGAGAGCCTAGTTATGAGCTTACATTCCCCGACTGAGCACCCAAAAGTTACCTTCCCTGTGAATAAAGACAAACCCAAGAGCTACCCATTCTAACCTCATCTGCAAGAAGTCGATATAACGGCGTTTTGCCCCAGCCCGCAGTACGTGGCACCGAATTCGGGTCATCCGCCGGCGACGAGAGAAACACCCAGGTCGAGGAGTCCCCCGAAAAGCTAGCAAGCCTGAACACAACCCAAGGTAAAGCCGACCACTCGTTTCAGGAATACGATTGGAGAGCGTGCAAGCGATGGATGGCATGTACTTCTATAAGAAGACGCACCTTCCGTCGGTCGCTCCCAGGGCAGCGCGGCATGTGTGAAGCAGTGTGTTGATGCGGCAGTAGAAGTGATGCCCGCACCCAGTCAATGTGAGCTTCGCAAAGGCAGCTTCAATGCTCTGGTAAGGAAAGGACATAAAAGGTAAACTAATGTTAACATCTGCTTAACAATGCTTAACAATAGGTTACAGCGCGCTTGCACACCTTTGCGAGCGTTGGAAGGCTACTGTGTGGCACCGCGTTTTCCAAAGCCTCCGGAAAGCAAGGTGTTCGTCGCTCCAAGCTAAGCTGTTTGGCCCCTATCGACGTATGTTCCTCCGGCTGATCGGTCGAATCGGCCTCAGCCGGAGCACATAAGCAACGCAGCCAATTCATCGGTACGTATTGTCGAAGATGTCTAAATTCATAAGACGCGCACCTACATTTGCCGTAAGTTCACTGGGACACGAGTGCCTAGCGCGCTTATCCTAAACGCCCGTTGGGAATGCGTACTGCACGTACTCCTTCACAACGGAAACGTTGCCTTCAGCCTTCTAAACCGAACAGCTCCTCTGTGCTGTGTTCTTGCTGCACTAGGCGAAGGTTATTGTCCTTTTTTATGCGTGTTCCCTTACACTATTGCCGGGCCACGTGCATAGGGCGTTCATTTCAATCCAGTATAGCGGGTTAATCATCACATACTTGGCCTCAATTTCTTGCATAAGCTTACTTGGGAGCTTCGTATTGTCCGGAAACATTTTTCCTTGCAAAACGCGAACTGGTGAAAATAGGTGTTTATTAATTCGTCGCTATTGCAAAAAGGCCGTAGCCTTCCTCCTAACCAACTTTAGGGTCGAGCCAGTCCTGTTACCGTCAGGACAATTGCGCCCGTACGGAGTTTCGCCCTTGCACGTGGACGTTTGCAACGGTAAAAGCATCTTCCTAAAACAACGTTTTACTGGCTAGCAAACTAGCTCAGCTGGTTAGGCTAGCTTCCTCGCTTTCTTGGAAGCTGTCAACTGAGCAATCGAGCCGCACCTACACTTTGCTGCGTCTTTTGGCTCTTGGGGGCGTCATGCGAGTGCATTCGGGAGCGGACACGCTGTTTTCGCAAAGCTTACGCATCCAAATGATACTTACAATCCCATGAAGTCGCGCATAAAAGTTCCACCCCATCATATATGGCATTGAGCTGTGCATGCGCCGCGCGCACACACCGTCCCTCCCGTAAGGAAAAGCCACAAGCCGCCATCCACACAATAAAGTACCCGCGCTCACTCATAGGCCATGGAACCAAACGAGAGTCCAGTATGTCTACACCCACCGCCAGCCCTTTCCAGGGGTACAGGTTAAGGAGGGTATCAAGAACCACTTCGACTTTGCATGCGTCGCATTCATTGCATACTTCACGGCTTAACGTTCTAAATGTACCATACTGAAGTGCTCGGCCAACAGCCGGTACGACAGCGCACCGTAAACGCAGACCGAGAACCCCTTTGCTGACTACACTCAATAGCACCTTAACGAAGGAACTACACTAACCCGGTAGATAGGTTGCGAGTTTAGGTCAACCCGGCATCCTCCTCTACTATTCGAGGCAACTGCGGCGAGCCAACATCTTCTTTGGAGCTAAGACGATGGGAAGCGCCAAGACTACGCAGGTAAGTATGATAAAGGAACAAGCGCCGGTCTCCGCTTTCCCCGATTCCGGTCCCGGTCGCGGATACCGGTGTGGTTTGGGTGCACAGCTTAATTAAATAGCTTCTCGTTAACGTCTGTGCTAGATTAGCGGCTTTTCCACGAATCGGCGGTAGGTGGCAACTCTGCCCTGCTATTTTGTTCGAATCTCACAACGCGCGCTGAACGCGAAACAACCAGCTTTTGACTAACAGGCTAGCGGTCTGCGGGTTACAAGCGGCTGTTCCCGGAAGTTACGGAGACTGACGCTCAAGCCTGTCGCGAAGGTTGACTCTGCGTGACCGCCTCAAGACGCTGAGGCTGCTATAGCGGTAACCTGAGAAGCCAAGCCGCAAACCATGGTATGCCACAAGACCTAACGTCATAGGGCTGAAGGAACCGACCTTGCTGTCAGTCAAGCCGCGCCCACGCCATACCAGTGCACACAGGCCGCAACCCTTTGGGGCCTGTAGGCTGCTGCTCGCTATGGCTGTAGGCCGCCGCACACGCGCACAGGCTGTAGGCCGCTGCTCGCTATGGCTATATTCCGCCGCACACGCGCTCAGGCTGTAGGCCGCTGCTCGCTATGGCTGTAGGCCGCCGCACACGCGCACAGGCTGTAGGCCGCTGCTCGCTATGGCTGTAGGCCGCCACACACGCGCACAGGCTGTAGGCCGCTGCTCGCTATGGCTGTAGGCCGCCGCACACGCGCACAGGCTGTAGGCCGCTGCTCGCTATGGCTGTAGGCCGCCGCACACGCGCACAGGCTGTAGGCCGCTGCTCGCTATGGCTATATTCCGCCGCACACGCGCTCAGGCTGTAGGCCGCTGCTCGCTATGGCTGTAGGCCGCCGCACACGCGCACAGGCTGTAGGCCGCTGCTCGCTATGGCTGTAGGCCGCCGCACACGCGCACAGGCTGTAGGCCGCTGCTCGCTATGGCTGTATTCCGCCGCACACACGCTCAGGCTGTAGGCCGCTGCTCGCTATGGCTGTAGGCCGCCGCACACGCGCACAGGCTGTAGGCCGCCGCACACGCGCACAGGCTGTAGGCCGCTGCTCGCTATGGCTGTAGGCCGCAGTGGCGACCGGTCACTCATTTGAGTAATGCATGCCCGGACCCTGCGGTCAGCGCCCTGCACCGTCGCTTGATCGGCCACCGCTGCTGTTGGCTGTAGGCCTAACCCTCGCCCCGCATTTTGCCTGCCTGCCACCCAGGTCCCGTGCAGGGGCCCGCGACGTTGACGACCCAGTACCCCTATGGCCGCGCTCGCCCAAACCGGGACCCAGCCCGGCTCTGTGCAACCCTCATGGCAGCCACCACTGATGGTTGGGACTCCTATCTGATCTGCTGGCCGTAGTGCTCAAACGGCGCGGCAGGGGTCAGCCGGCTGCCCACTTTCTGCTGCCCCGCCACTGGGCCCAGCTTAGATACCCGTCAGCTGCCCAGTTGCAACTGCCTCTCGCGCCCCCGGGAGATAATGCTAAGCCCCTGCGCCATGGCCGCCCAGCGGGCGGCCGCTGGACGTTACCGGCTGGCAATGGGCCTTGCAGCAGCCCTTGCAACTTCACCCGTGTGCCCACAAGCCGCGGCGGGCAGGAGGCCCGTCCCCTAGGCCGCGGCGCTACACAGCATGCCTAGTCTGGGTAGACACTGTATGGATCAACGCTATGGGGACAGTGCTGCCCCGCCAGGGAGCTCACGGCAGAGCTGCCACGCGTGCACTCTGGGCTGCATCGTATGCCGCCCCAGGGCTGGGGCACAGGCATGGAGCCGTTCCGCCTACGCAGCTGCTATGCGCGCCCCCAGCTCGGGGGGCGTGTCAACGAGGACACTTGTGCTAACCTGCTGGATAGCGAGCAGCGCGGAGATAGCCGCGGCTGTAGGGCCTTGTTGGACTGGATGCATGCCACACGCGGCAAGGAAGGCATGCTGCATTAGAGGGGCAATTGGCGCAACAGGCATCAGTAGTAGCGTCACGGGCAGTTAAGCGTTTACAACTGTGTGGTTTAGCCAATGTGGGCATGTAGCCCTGGCCTTACAATGCCTTCCCGTGCAGGTGGGGGGTTGCCGTGTAGCCACACGTGGTGGGAAGCATGCAGCCGTTTGAGCGCATGAGACGGCACCTGTGTCCGCCGTACTGTGACATATTAAACCCGGTTGAAAGCGTTGCATAAAGACAGAAGGGTTGTTGACGTAAGATTAGTACCGGTATCGGGCAGGCACAGTGGATGGCTTGTGCAACGAGCGCCAAGAGCTTTTGCCGCACGTCGCTTGCTAGTTGGCCGGAACCGAATAGGAGGCCGAATAAGGGAGCTGGGCGGCAGCCATAGTGTCCCCAGTAGCCGCTTGTTATGCACCGCTGTCCCCTCTCTCTTGCGACTATGGTCTTACCAGCTGACCCTAGCCCCATGCACCCCGTGCGCGATATGGGCTGTTCCAGCAATACGGCACTCTTCAGCAGCTTGCCGTGAAGGTATATGTCCAGCTCAATCCACTTGGGGCGAAGATAACAGCGCCCCTTGTATCGGAAGGGAGCTACAGTTTCCCTAACATGGCACCAACCCGCTGCAACAAGCCCTGCACCACTATGTAGCCTTTCGTCGTCTATGGTAGTCAGTCGCACGCCACGCAAACATTCGTGCGGGGACTGAACCCATCGGTCCGGCTGCTGTCTCAAGGATTATGCAGCCAGCTGGCTGCTGACGGCGCTGTTGGTAGTCGTATCATCGCCACTGTGGTGGGGGGCCTAGGCGTGAGTTAGCCCGGCCGCCAGTCCGTCGTTAGGATCTTGGGCGACAGGTGACCCATGGGTCACCACGCCTATTTGCTACACGGCTGCCGCCCCCCCCCCCGTTGCCCTTAGGCCGCCACACGTGAGGCCCATACAGCAAATAGTGTACGCATAGGGCCGGGTCGCCTCCACCATGGCTGCCTGGCACTCCCGTGGGAAAGGGTTGGTGCAATTGTCTGTTGTCGACGGTAGCTCCACAGGGGCCGCAGTTCCCATGGCCGCGGCTTGTAGCTTGGCTGGTTGGGAGCCGCTGGAACCCGGACCCGTCTGTGAAGCGCGGAGGGCGGGAAGCGTTGGGGCGAAGCCGGCTCGCCATCCGAGTTGTCCCCGCGCAGGGGTGCTGCGCATGGTCACCCGGCGATGGGCACATGCACAGGCCTCCTTGACCTATCTAGCGCACCGCTAAGGTGCGGCCTGACACTGAAACCGGGGATTTCGCGGCAGCTCTGATGACCCCACGATCGGGGACGCAAGACACCATCCAAAAGTTACGTGGTTCGCCCTCCCACGCGATCCACCCCGCCTGGGCTACGGATATTACGCGGTGGTGGAGGAACGCTGTGGGCATTGGGGTGTTCCCTGCACGGGCTTTGCCTGGTCCCAAGGCGAAGTGTTGTACGCATACCCTCGCAGCTGCTAGCTGGCATGCCGGCGACCTTTTAAGCGCGGAGCGCACTGCTGCCGCGAGCGCCATGCCTCTAGCAAAATGGTACATTGCCAGCCTGGCAATGGGCACTGCACTTCCCAGCAGCGCACTGCGGGGCTTAGCAGTTGACATGACGGCCTCCGTTCCCGCATCGCAATGCTTGGCGAGCAGTGGTCAGCCCGCCACTCAGTAGTGCGCTACCGGCATAGCAGAGCAGGTAGTGTTCCTCATGCAGCGCTTTGCCCTTCCTAGCAGGGGGCGATTCGCGCCCTCGCCCGCGCGGCGCCTTGCCTCCCGAGCAGTGCATGGCTCTTTTCCTGAGGTGCATGGCCCGCCGAG